TGAAGGCTATTACATGCTGAAATTAAAAGCAATATACAAGTTATTACAGACATGTTTGCATTTTCTGTGTGGCCTACTAATACATGCAGTGGACAGTGCATGGAGAGGCTTGATTTGTGAACTTCACAACTAAATTCACATTACTGCTTGTGAAACCAACTGAAAATAAGTTGTTTTGCTTTAAAGGACAGTCATGAAACAGTCATTAGTAAGTAGCTGAGAGCAGCATTTAGTCTGCGGAAGTTTTATTACTGGAAGTGACTCATATCAAGGGAGGAACTCCAGCTGAATCAAGTTTTTATCTGTTTTTTGTGACGCAGTGGCAACAAAAGCAACAGTACATACACTCAGAAAGGAAGCCTATTTGGCCAGTCACTTCAATGTACAACAGCACTTGGAAAACAAGGGAAGCTGAACAAGGTCTTTATCATTATCACACAGTGCAATATTGCAATGCAAGAGACAGAGAGAAAGGTGTTGGTCTGTCCCTTTATTTTTTTTCTTTTCTACTTTGACTAGTGTTGCTTTTGTCCAAAAGCTGTATCTTTCTACATGTCTGGTGCCTGCTGAGGAAGGAGGACTGATTTTTCTGCAGGTCCTTCAGCACTAAAACTTGGGAGCATGCCTAACAGCACTGTGTTTTTCCAAGCGTTTGCAGTTTGACTGTAAAGTAGGAAAAAGTATTTATTCTGAAATGGTTTGAAATCTCGATCTTCACACTGCAGCACAAGTTCGGTTAGGGTGCAGGGGCTTGACCAGCAGAGTGATAGTTCAAGCTGGCTCTCAAAGGAGATTCTTGGCTAGCACAGTCTTAACAAAAGAAGCTAGGGTCCCGGGGGATCAGTCCCTTTTCAAAGTACAACACACACAGTCTGAGATCAGTTTAAAAACCATACAGTTCCTATTTTATGTCCATTAATGCCAGCTAGTCTATAGCAGCTCTGGCTTGAACAGACTCTTTGGCTACCATTAGCAAGGCTGCAATGACAGCATTCCCCTACAAGTCTGCTTTTCTTGGTCCTCCTTTGCAAAGTGAGAGGAAAACCACTCATCATCAATAGTCTTTCCAGAGATCTGGTGTGTCAGGTTAGATGGATGTGCATTGAAACTTCTCTCCTTTGAGCTAAGTAGTAGTAGCCTGCCTGCTTGATACACAAACTGGAATAACTGGTGGAAAACCTCCTCTGAAAACAGACAACTGTGGCACTGAACTGTCTTCCTCTTCCCCCTCAGAGGGCTCCATCTAGCCAGCTTCGATGCCTGAGAAGCAATTTCAATTTTTTCCCTGTCTTAGACGTTCCTTGCCAGCAGCTGAAGTTCCATTTTCAAAATTACTTGCAAGCTCTAACACACTTTCTCTTGCGGGCTGAAGAGACATCTTTTGCAACACTCATCCAGAAGGAAGGAAAAATGACATTTTACATCACAAGGCCATAATATATGCTTTGTTCCCATCTACAATGTGAGAAAGCAATCCTCATTTTTGTCAATTTGCACAAGGGTTCCCTGATAAAAGGGTCTGGAAGGACTTGTGGACTCTTTTCCTTAAGTGTGCAAACCCTCGACTGCCAGCTACGGAAATGCATTACAAAACCTGATGCCTTTGTTCACTTTGCCTGTGACTCCCATCAGCTACAGAAAAATAGCTGAAAATGAAAGTTTAAAGAAAAAAAGCCCACACTAAACCAATTTATCGAAAACGCCAACACTTTCAGTATTGTATTTCAGTATCATATTTCAGTATTCAATATTAGTCATTAGTTTGCATGCCAGGGCCTGGCTGGGGCTGAAGAGTGATGTATTTCAGCCCAAATTATAGATGTGGTATCACCAGCTTTTCGATTCCCCCACCAGTTCCTGGGGGAGAGGACGCAGGATTAGAGAGTTATTACAGGACAAACGTAACCCCCTTGCAAATCCGAACACACAGAGCTGGGGCAGACCTGGCTTCCAGCTTTATTAAACGCAGGAGGAAGGTATGCAGAGAGATGATCAGAAGATACCCTCAGCCAAGATGCACCAAGCAATTCTCCAGCGCGTAGAAGAATGCAGCCGATGACATGCCGGACTGCAGGTCAGTGTAATTTCTCAGATGCCTAGCACTGTACTCGCACACACTGCCCCCCGTCCCCCCAAGCTGACGCGAGGATAGCGTTTAGCACCTGTAATCAGATTACAGAAGAGTTTCTAAGTGTACGCTGGACTTGTAAAAAGCAGATTTCAAAGTCGGGGTGGGGAAAGTTTGCACACACAGTTCAACAGGTACCCCTGAGAACGTGCTTCATTTGGATTCAGAAGGTGGTACCTCCTTCAGGCAGTTTGCAAGGCTTTTTTTTAAACAACCTCCCTGTGTATTTAGAACACATTCAAAACGTGTTGATTCCTCTGTACCTAGAATCACTGTAACATCCTCTTTGGTAAAAATTGTGTGGCATTTCCTCATGAGGAACTCCTAGTGAAAACAATTCAACACAACGTATAAACACTCACATACCAGGGCTATCAAGTCCCTGTACTGAGTTTGTGCATCTATAAACTACCAGTGGCTTCCTGTGGCAGCATGAATCTGGGGTGTAGTACTGATTTACATTGCCAGAGCTTTCCCAATGTTTTATTTTTAAACAAAAGGTGCTACTACTTTTAACGGCCGAGTTAACCAAACATTTTCCACCTTTCTCCTCTCTCCCCGTTCCCCATGTAATTTGGTTTTCACCTGCAGTGTTTTGTGTTGTTTCAAACAAAAAACTGTATTTCTAACATCACAAGGCCTGTATTAGTCACTCGTTAAAAACAGTATTTTATAAGTAACAAGTGTGCTAATTTTAGGAAAAAAAACAATGTGCTTTTGAATTTAAAGCAACTTCTTTGTACTACCTAGTTGAGCGCAGGGGCACCTGATTCCGTCGTTGTTCAGGTGACGTAAGCTGTACGGGTCAGTCAGAGCAATGCCGGGCTCAGAGAGGAAATGGGTAGAAATGCTCCCTCTTCCCAACCGCATCCCAGCGCATTCGCTACAAGAAGCCAACTAAGACTAGAGCAAGGAAGGGCAGAGAAGTTGATCTCTTCTTACCTATCTGACCGCTCGGTGACTTTGCTGGTACAGATTTCTGCAGACAGCAAGGAGGATGTGGGATGAAAAAGTGAAAGGGGAGTGCAGAGCGTGTCAGCCGCTTTGCCAGAGCAGCAGAATGACAAGTGCTTCCCTCGAGGTGACACACACACACTGCGGAACACACGAGTCCTACCGGTTGTTCTTCGCCCGCGTGCAGACCTCCTGCACGAGGCATTTTAACACTTAAGGACTGGTTAGGCCTTGTGCCGCCTTTTCTTGCGATCTGCCAGGGAGATCCCTCATCCAGTACACCTTCAGCAATAAACCAAACCACAGATAACGACACATGATGACGAGGAACACTGACAACAAACCACACAGAAGCCAATGAAGTTATATGACAAGAACGATACTGTAGTATGAACATAGGTGTGTGAATCATGAAGCAACAACGCTCTACTTTAACATGCGTATTCAAAGAAAACTCCTCCAGAGGGCATTCAGAGCAGCAGCTAAATTAGGCTCTTGTTCCAATGGCTCCAACAAAGCTTCTCTTTCTTCCTTTCCCAAATAAAATGCTGCTGAAACAGAGGAAGACTAGCCTGGGGAAACTGAAGTCAGCCTCTGTGATTACCCACCTGAGGCTTACTCTGGCATTTTCACATTTTCTCAGCGCACAACTGCTTTATTGTTTTCCCCTCTCTACGGACTGTGCTGAAAACGTTGATTCAGCACGGCATTAGTGATTCCAGGGCAAAACAGGTACAAGTATAAGGTGTATTGTATCTATCCACGCTCCCCCCAAATCTTTCAAAAATAAATAATGCATCATAACCAGAATAAGAAGATTGAAAACTTTTATTTGTACTTAGCACATACAGGAAAGATCAAAACAAATATTAAAAGATAGCATTTGTAAACAAATATATTTCACAAACAGTTATACACTATCAAATTTGCTCTAAAAAAATTCATGGTTATAGCTGTTTATAAACATATATTTATCAAAATCAAGTTAAAAACTACTTAATTTTTAAAATATCCCAAATGAAGATTCATTCATTCCAACAACTTCAGAGAGACCACAGATGTAAGGCCTAATTAAAACAAATGCCCGAGTGAAGATGGCACTGTGATTTCCAGTTTTTAAAAAAATAAATCTGCAAGTGATCAAAATATCAGCCAAGCCTATTTAAAGACCTAGGTTTGTAAAATATACATTCAACTTTGCGAATGTCTAACTTAAAAAAATAGAGCTATTTCACTGGATTGTCCTCATCTTGTAGTGTACCAATCATGAGCTGTGTTTTTGAATCCACTCAGAGAGAAGTTATCAGTAGGTAGTTTTACGTGATTGTACAGTTCACTTCCATAATCACATTAAAAAAAAGAAGACAGCAGCACCCTTTTAGCAAGGATTCATTTTTAACATTCTTGCCTTTATAGCAGCAGATATGGTTTCGGGGGATGCTATCAATATAATCAGTATGTCACAAAAGGAATACACATACTCCATGAAGTTTGTTATAGTGTTCTTTCCATTACATTA